TTTTTAAGTGCAACAGCTGTTTGGTATAAGGTGTAAGAAAGCAGCTCAATTTTTTAATGACTGCTTTGGCAGTATAGTGCATATGGCTGGCTATCAGTCCAGTTAAGGGATTATGTATTTTTGTCTGACAAGAGCATCTCCTCCTGCTGAAAAAGACTCACCCCAATTTAAGCAATCCTATCCTATATAATCTATATATACTAATAAAAGGGTAATATGCTAATTAGACCAGGTCAAGATGTCTGACTTCCTTCTGGACAAAGCCATGGTGGTGGGGGCCAAGGCAGAGGCAGTTAGGAGTGATCAGGCCAGCAGAAGAGGGCAATTGGGGGCGAGATCAGGTTGGCAGGGGAGGGGAGTTAGGGACAATCAGGCAGGCAGGTAGAGAGGTTAGGGGTGATCAGGCAGGCAGGCAGGCAGGTGAGTGGTAGGAGACAGTGGTCCCAGATTGCGAGAGGGATGTCCAACTGCCTGTTTAGGCCCAATTAGAGAGTGTGCAGGCTGGGCTGAGGCCCTCCCCCCCACACCCTGTGCATGAATTTTGTGCCCCGGGCTACTAGTTCTCTCTAATAAAAGAAAAACATGCAAATTGACTGTACCTTTGATACACCCATAAGCCACGCCCACCAGCCAATCAGGGCAAGTATACAAATTAACCCAACCAAAATGGTGGTTAATTTGTATATCCAGGCCACAGCAAAGACTCAAGACAAGTGTAGAAAGAGGCCAAGCAAGAAGGTTAGGGGAGAAAGAAGGAAGCAGGCGGGGCAGTGAAGACCGCAGCAGCATGCCCTATTGCAGGAATCTTCCTGCAAGGGACCTCTAATATATATATATATATATATATATATATATATATATATATATATATATATATATATATATATATATATATATAATAGGCTAAGTGTCAGTCCATCCGACCAGTAGCTATGACATGCACTGACCACCAGGGGGCAGATGCTCAATGCAGGAGCTGCCATGATGCCTACTGACCATTCAAAAGTAAATGGCACCATGGACCTGGCACTGACAAACCAACACTTGGCTTCCCCCCAAGTGGGTCACAGGCCCCGCCACCATCCTGGAATGACACCCTACCAAATTGCAGCCAATGCTGCTAAGACTCCATGATGCAAAATGTAGCCCACAGCCCAGCCCAATCCTGAAACGGTCACTGTGGGCACTAGTAATGACTTTCCATAGCAACGCCCAGCTTCCTCTCCCTAGCAACTAGCCTCCTTGGAATGTCTTCATCCCAGGAACCAGGCTTGCTTTATAGCCAGATGCAAACATTTTACAGTTTAACCAAATGTTTGTGAAGCGTTTTCACGTGCCTCATCTTATTTGATCCTCACAGAAGTCCTGAAGTAGGTAGATAGGAGATTCTGTGGAATCCTATTTTCTTTTCATTAGCCAGAAAATGGAGATTTAGAAGGTTTAGAAACTTGACCTGACTGAAAAGAAGAAACGGTGGAACTTGAAAATGACTTCAGGTTTTCTCACTGCAGAGAACATAGTCAAACACTGATACAGTTAAATATTTTACCCTTTGTTCTCCATGCGTGATCTATAATAATAATCTGCTTCATGTTGATATTTACTGCTGTGTTTCTGATAATTACCTGAAAGAGAAGTTGGGGTGCTTCACTGGGCTGGAAAAAGTTTAGCTACATCAAAAAGCAGGTCTAATTAAGCAAGTTTATTGTATATCTATAAAAGGCTAAGTTGACCTGGGCAAGCGCGATCATATAAAGCTCTCACTGGTGCCAATCACACGTGTGTATTTTGATCTGTCATTGTTGATTGTAAATTTGGTTGACACTTCTATTATAGAGAAAGGGCGAATAGAGATATTAAAATATTCCTTCTAATTAATTTCCTTTCAATGTGCATGAATCTGTGCACTGGGACACTAGTAAATTATACACCCTGTAGTTTTCCAATCATTAAAGGAAATAAAACCTCACCATTAGTAACCATAGACACACATGTGATACTAGATACAGGCTGTCTTTAAGGGAGAAAACAAATAATGTACTTGAGTAGACTGTCTAGAGCGCTGTGTATGAATAAAAGCAGTTTTTCATTGCGCAGCTGGTGTCACTCAGTGGTTGAGTATTGACCTATGAACCAGGAGGTCACAGTTTGTTCCCAGTCAGGGCTCATGCCTGGGTTGCCAGCTCAATCCCCAGTAGGGGGAAGTGCAGGGGGCAGGCAATCAATGATTCTCTCATTGTTGATTTTTCTCTTTCTCTCTCCCTTTCCCTTTCTCTCTGAAATCAATAAAGATATATTTTTTTTAAAAAAAGCAGCTTTACACAATTATTTGAGTAACAATAATTTAATGATTTTTACACTATAAATTAGATCTTACTAGAATTTTCTGCTTAAATCTGAGTGTAAAATTTAACACCTTAAACACAGAATTCACAGCCAGAGGGTTTAATGAATTATTTCTGTTCACTTGAGAAAGATAGGGGGCACTATATTCTATGTCCTTTGAAGACATTTCTATGAGAATAATCAAATTGTGTAAAATGGAGAAAAATGGTTTAAATTCCAAGAAATCATCTCTCTCGGACCAGGACAACTTTAACCAAAAATATTTTCACAAAATTTCATTTTAATCATCTTCTTTACAAAGCATAATACTAAAGACTTCTAAATACAACTTTAGAAAATGAAGCAAAAAATAATTTCCATTAGATGCTGGTGGAGTCCATGCTGAACACACACAATTTTTTTTTTTTTCAAAAGTGATACTTCCAAGCTTCTCAATGTTTTTTTGATGGGTCCATTTTGTAAAGAGTAAAAATGGTGGCTGTTCAGACAGTGGCTCATCCAGTTCCATGATGTAGAATCCTCTTGCTGGTTAGCCCAAGGGTCATTAATGAAGCTGGACATGCCAACTTCTAGAATCAATTCTCCCTCTCCTTATACAAAGAAAGCCAGTGGCCTCTGTGAGGGGAAGATGACAGCCCTCTACATTCCAGGTTCCCAGTGCCCCACGAGGACACTCCAATTTCTCAATGTAATTATTAACAATCCTACTCTGTGTACACATCATATAAAACTACATCATTAGGGAGGTTCATGATGAGTACATGAGAAATCCAAACACCACAGAATCCAAGCCTCATTCTTCTATTAGGTGGTAGGAAATCTCTGAAGGCTCCAAGTTTAACACAAATGCTTAGAAAAGTCAAGGGGTACAGGAATGTTTTACGCTGCTCTTGGAAACTTGGCACTCCTGGTCCCAAGCACATTGAGAGCAAAGGCTGCTGAAAACGCAAGGGAATGAAGGATTGGAGGTTTCTTTGCTCACACACTTATCTTCCCTTAACTCATTTCCTTAACCCTGGCAGACCAGGTGTCCAGACTCTGTAAATACTCTGGAGGAAGTAGCAGCCTCAAGCAGCAAGGATGAGGATGTAGGCAAGAGGAAGGCGGGGAAAGAGAGAAAGGAAGATATTTTTATTTGTAATACTTAAGATGATAAATAACATGTGGTGATAACACTTCTTCAGTGTTATCAATTCTCATTCATTCTGGTTATGAAGATCTATTAATGTTTAATACTTTTACTCTAAAACTCAGGAAATAGACAAAGTAGCTTTTTAGAAACACAAAAAAACATCATCAGGTACCATTATAAGGGACCACCACCCCCAACCCCCAAACAATTTTGCAACACAGTATGTCCCCTTATTTTCAGCTAAGGATTAGAAAGCAGTCACACAGACTAAGGCGGAACTGTTCATTTGTTACAAAGATAAAGCAGACAAGCAAACACGTTTCCTTGGGAGGGAAAAAGCAATTCAAAAAAATGCCAGAAAGAACCAGTGGCTACACTTTAACAAGAGCCCCCACCTCCCATTCCCTTGCACCTAAGGAAAGATTACAAGAGATGGAGTCATATGACATTATGTGAATATAGCTGAAACAATAACACACACAGATAACCCAGTGCAGGAAATAATACAACTTCCCTCCCTCTTTTTTTTTTTATTTGCATTTTACTTTTATTTATTTTTGCTTTAATAATGCATATTCTTTTTCACGCAAAAGGTGCAAAGGACAGGAGGCAAGGGTTTAACTTAGCTGATGAAAAATCAAGCAGGGGTCACATTTCTAGTTTTGTGAACAACCTAAAACTAGAACTTAAAAACTGCAGCTGGTACCACAGAGCAGGCCCAGCTTCAAGCTGTCTCCTCTTAGGACCTTTGGCTAGGGGAGAGAAGCTTTGAAGACAGTAGCCTCCAGTGGACTTTGATGAGTGGCTAAAACTTTTTTTTTTGTTTTAAATCATGGTAGCTGCATCACAAAAGTTCCAATCAAGAGGGTGGTAAAAAGAAGGCACAGATCATTGCAAACACCAGATTTTCTCTTTATCTTTTTGTAAATATACCATCACGTATAAGCTAAAATCGATCTCAGGGTGGTGGGGTTTGCTGGCAGGAGAAGGGACGGGTTGGACCTAAAATTGCATATGTAATAGACTCCTAGAGGGGACACAAAGCAAGGCAGCTTTCCGCCAGCAGCAAAAGAAAGGAATGCTTGCTCCGGACTATGTGTAATACAAATACTGGGGGAATCTGTGACAAAACACGATTTAAAAAAATCATAAAATTATAAAGCTTGTAAACGAATAATCTGAAATTACATTTTCTTAATGGAAAATATCATCAAAATAGTACTACTATGGACTAAACTGCCTGAGTTTTCGTTTCGCATGAGATCTCATAGTAAAAAAAGCCTTTAGCACAATTTGCTCTGTTTAAGTCACAACCAGTGCCAGACCCAGGACTATACCGTGGGGAAGAGTCTCCTCTTGGATGGAATTTGTGTTGTGCTATCAAGATTTTTGTGCTAATCTTTCAAACTGGGACATATTGAGGCAAATCTTTAATCTTTTGGCACAAGGTTATTTTGGCTGGGGTGGAAAAGTTGAGTCTTGGACTCAGTATGAATAACGCGACATTTCATTGATCAAGTATTCATTTTGATTGAAGAGCTTTCTTTATGTCATTAACTTCCATCTATAAAAGACAAAGAAGAGCCAACAAAATCATAGTGAATCGGCTGGTTTGAAAGAAGCTGAAAGATAATCAACCTGGTTGATTGAAAGAAAATACTCAACCTGACAAGCTTAAAGGCAAAATGGGTAAAATGACATCAGAATGAAGAGTTGATAGAAATGTACAAACCTAAAGAACAGGCATGCAGATGGGATGTGCTAGGAAATAGTGGATGTTTTAATTCTCAGGCTACCAGCATCCAAAATTTGTCAACAGTAACAAGTGCTGTAGTTTCCTGGCCAGAGGGTGGGGCAGGCTGTCCTGACCTGCGGGACCACCTGGCAGTGCTGAAAGGTAGCAGTGGTTGGGCCCATGGTGGTATCTGTCACCATTTCCAAAGTGATGACAAGATACCTATCTTTCTTTAAGCAGCATGGGTCCTAACCACCACCCAGGGCACCAACTGGATGAAAGCTGAAAGTCTTCCTTTGGCCATTTGGTAACGGCTAAGTTGGATCTGAGGGGTACAAGGCTCTGACACTGGTGGTACTGACATAACCATCAGGGAGAAGTAAAAAGATACAGAGCAAGTGCCCAGTGTGGGCAACTGTGGTCCTTGGAATCCCAACGACCACATAACAGAAGCCAACTGCCATGGGGTCTGGCATGCCATGCCCTCTGGCCATGACTACAATGAGGCCTCTGAAAACCAGGGGAAACTATTCACAGAGGACAGGTTTCTGGTAAATTCCAAGTGAGAAACTCAATTAGGGGTACAATTACTAATGTCTTCCTTCCCCAAACTTCCCGGATCCCACTGAAGGATGCAAAGTGAGTCTATAAAATTCTAAGAAAATGGCCACAGGAAGTGTGCCTAAATCTGCAGAGAAGTAACAATCATTTGTTTTCAAAATAAAGCCTGATGCCGCCCCTACCCCCAACTGAGCCTCTCGTGAGGCAGGACCCCAAGGGACCCACCTGCAGTCGAAGCCGGATTTTCTTCTCTTCATCCAACTCTGACAGTAACTGCTTAATCTCTCGTCTGAAAAGCAAACAATGGAATTAAACAAAAGTCCAGACTTTCCCAATAAAAGATAAGAAGCCTCTTATCATTCCAAAATCCACCTGACTCTTTTATGAAGACAATGTGGACAGAACATTGTTTTCTTTGCATTGTTATTGCTTAAAATTTGTCAGAGACAGAAAGAGTTGCCATTATTTCTGGGCTCCCAAAATAGGTAGCCATCAAATAATATGTCTGACATGATCTTTAAGATCCTTCAGTTGAGGCTTCTCCTAAAAGAAGATGGGGAAACTGAGGCCTAGAGAGGTGGCCAACTTGTTCAGTGACTAGGCTCCAGGTATTCATATTCTATTGTCTTTCCTCTCTGCCATCTTGACTGGAAACTATCCCTTCATTATAGATTACTGGTTTTCAAATGTACTTACATAATCAGTTTAATTGTAGATATTTGTTACCATTCCATACCTTCTGACTCCTAACCCTATGGCCATTTTTGTCGCTGCATATGGCACAGTGTAATATTTATGTGTGTTAGCTATTTTCGCTTACAGATCTTTCTCCCCATCGAAGGGCTCCTTGAAGATGAAAGGAAGGGAGAGAGCATTGTGGGGGCATGCATGGAGGGAGCCCCCGAGTCTCATGGGGAGAACTACTTGCTCAGTCAAAGTCTTGGCTTTAAAGATTCCCTATGTCTTTTCATACATGACAGCTCCTAAATGCAAACTAATTATTATAATGGGCAGCTAACTGAAATAACTGAAATCTTTCTGATGCTAGAAGAAACGCTGGCTATTGGGCTGATTAAGAAGTGGTATAGCCTGGCCTGAATGTTTCAGTGGTTGGTGTTGACCTATGAACCAGGAGGGCATGGTTTGGTTCCATTCCTGGTCAGGTTACATGCCTGGGTTGTGGGCTTGATTCCCAGTAGGGGGCAAGCTGGAGGCAGCAGATCAACCATTCTCTTTCATCATTGGTGTTTATAACTCTCTTTTTCTCTTCCTCTCTAAAATCAATAAAATATTTTTTTAAAAAGCTGGTACATGTGCATACTGTATTTTATTGGGATTTTACGATCTTTCCTTCTTTCCTTGCCCTGGCCAGGTGGCTCAGTTGGTTGGAGTGTTATCCCATATACCAAAAGGTTTTGGGTTTGATTCCTGATCAGTGTACAAATCCAGGTTGTGGGCTAGATCCCCAGTCAGGGCACATATGGGAGGCAACTGATTGGTGTTTCCTTCTCACATTGATGTTTCTCTCTCTCCCTTACTATCTTTCTCTCTCTCTCTCTCAAAAAAAAAAAATTCAATAAAAACATACTTGGGTGAGAATTAAAAAAAAAAGGTTTTTCCTTTCAGCAGCTGAAAGGAATGTATGTGAGGCCTTGAAACTGTCTCCTCCCCATAAACCCCACAGCCAACTGATACCCTTCCTACATGCAGCAGGTCCAGTTACTCATGGAGCTGAGCTCTGTGAAGTCTCTTGAGTTCACATCCACTGCCACCCCTGCTTGCAGACTAGACCCTGGCCCAGCAGAGAGTGATCCAGAGGGAGAAGAAGAAGGGGCCCCAGACACTCACTTTTGCTGGTCCTTCATGGTCTCGATGATGCTCCTCAGTTCTCGGACCTGTGTCCTTAGCTCCTCCACGGCTGCTTGGCCAATGGCCACAGGCTCCATCTTTGGTTTTCCTTCCGTGCCAAACAGAGATGGGGAGTTGGCTCTGTGTCCGGCTGTTCCCAAAGAGGACGACAGGGGGGTGGGTACCACCGAGGACAGAGTAGCTGATCCGCCACCACCAACTGCAGCCATAGTCCCTGGCTTGGGTGGCAGGGGTGCTTTGTTGTCAGACACCTATGACAAGGAAGGGCAGAGAGGCTTCAGACTAGGGATTCATGTTTAGCAGAACCCTATCTATATCATCACCCATGCCTCCCCCCATATCTTCCTCACTCATTATTTCACATACAAGCCCCAAGGGCCTACTTGGTATAGGCATTCCCCATAGAAGTGCCTTTTCTTGTATGTTTTACATTGGATCACCTTCTGGCCAGGCAGTTCCCATTTGTTTAATGTACATGTCCAGAGTCCCATCTCCTTGCTAGGCTCCGAAAACTGAGTGAGCAAAACATTTTCCTGGCCCTCAAGGAGCTCAGAACTCAGTGTAGACAGACAGACCAACCAACACTCTGCAGATGAGAGGGAAGTGTGCACATGGGAGGGAAGTACAGAGAGCTGCAGAAGCATATGTCTAGTGGGCAGAGCCAACAACTGAAAGAGTGAATTGGCCCCGAGAAACTGTCAGAGGAAGAGAATGTCATGGGGGTGAACAGCACGGACGTAGAAAAAAAGAAGCCCGATAATGGAAGCCCAAATTGAAGAGGTGGGAAGAAAAGGTAAAGCCCTTGAGGACTAGGACAGAGTAGTGAGAGGGAATAAAGCCAGACCAGAAGAGGAGCCTGGGTTATGGAAGTCCCCTGTAAGAGTTTCCAGTAGGAAGAAAATGGTTGGATAAGTGGGTCAAGGGTGCTAAGAGGAAAACTGGGGGAGCCCACTTGATGGAGGAAGGGAGACTGAAACCTGTTCAAGGTGGTCAGTGCCTGACACAGGTGAGGGGTGTGGCTTGCAAGTTTAGAACACTTTCTAAAAACTTGGCAGAGGAAGGAAAATGGGACAAAGACAGTGTTTAAGGAGAAGCCGTAGGAGGGGACAGGATCAAGGAATGGTTCTGTTCGCTCTCAAAGATGAGGGAGACCCTGAGTTGGATGATATGCTGAGGGAGAGAGTCTGAGAGGACCAGGCTGGAGACAGAGGAGATAGGTGGAGGCTGGATGGAGAAGCATTCTGAGGAGACCAGGGGGTGGGAGGACATGGGCAGTCATAGGTTGGGGGAAGAGGGGCATGTGGCAGGCCCAGGGGAGGAGACAGCAGCAAAGGAAGGTGAGACATAGGCAGGTGGAGAGGACAGGACTTTGGGAGGTGAAAGGGTGAGTGACAGGCAGAAGAAAAGGTTGGTGGTGAAGCTGGGCCACCCAGTTGGAACTCCCTCTAGCAGCAGGCACCCAGGGCAGGAGCCAAGAAGGGGCTTGGTTGGCATGGTAAGGAGGCAGAGTGTGAAGTCAGACTGTGCTAAAGGGAGAGACTGGGCAGAGTAAGACAGAGGCATATGGGCCAGCATTCCCAGCTTCTCTGCTTGCCTTTTCTCTGCCAAGTTACCATTGAGGAAAAGCACTTTCTGCTGCCAGAGATAGCGATCAGCCATTCCATGCTTATTGTTCATAGGAGTTATAATAAGAGGGAAGAGAGACTGACATTCATGGAGCACTGGTCACCTACCAGACATTGGCTAGACAATTGAAACAAGGACCAGTTGGCATACATGTTTGACCGAGGAAATGGAGGCTTAGGGACATGGTGTAGAAATTCCCGAAGACTCACAGCTAATAACTGGCAAGCTGGGATACAATCCTCTCCTCCATCAGCTGGACCCTCAAGCCTGGTATCATGCCTGTGGTTACCCAAGTCTGAAAATTCACACTCTACCGTCTTTCTTTTCTTTGCTTCTTTCCTACTCCTGAGTTCACACTTTTTCACATTTTCCATCCTGCGTCTTCACATACCTCCCCCAACCCATCAATGTCCTCATGCTGACTGGCTTCCAGGCATTTCTTGAATGAATGCTTCTCTGAGCATTTACTACATGACTTGCTCTCCAGGCCCATTTCAACGAACAAATACTTTAAAAAATTCTCACAGAATAGAGGGCACCATATACCTTCACCAAATTAGTTCATGTGGAATTTCCAAAAGCAATAAACAACATGACATGACAGCTGCAGGGAAGTGAAAGAGCCTAAAAGAACTGTAAAAATCAGAAATGGGAAGAGCCTCTGCCCACCAGTAGATGTCACTGTAGAAACACCCCAAGGCTGTCTGAGAGGTCAGAGAGAATGTAACTAACCTTGTATACTACCTAGGATAACCAGAAAAAACACACAGGTTTAAATCCAATTTCTGAAAATGAAATCCTTTTATAAAGGAAGAATTATATTTTATGAATAATTCCAATTAATATGTTTTATAGGATAGTTTTTGCATACTGTATCAGATGTTAAAGAAAATCTATGCATGTAAAATTTTAAATCTATGAGAAGGAAAATCCTACATACATTTTTATTTCTTTGTGTTAATTCCTGTTTCAATTGCCTTTAAAATGACTGCCGTTTTCTACTTTTTTAGACAGAAAGTAGTTGCAAGCATTTATAGAGAATAATTCCAACTGCTGGGCTCTCTTAGCATAAATTTCAAAATCTTGGTTCACATTCATAGGACAAGCAGCATTTGTACAGGGTATCCTTCAGAAGCTATACACAATTGTTGCTAAACAATGTCTTCTTTTTTCACACAAGCCAGTAACTTAGAAGAGCTATACCATCCCTGGGCATGCAATGAAATTAAAATATTTTAGACTATAAATTTATCCCAATAAATAAATCCAAATCACCTTTTAAGATACCACCATTAATTATTCAAATTCATGAGCTTCCAACCATAGTTTGTGGCACCATCAGTTTTGAACACAAAAGACAAGATGTGTGGGCAGAGGGCACACATTTAATATAGTTAATGTATTCTTTCTAGACACCGATAGGCTTTTTAAGTTGTCTTGGTTTCTGAGAAGGTGATGGTATGCAAGGGCATTTGTGTATGTGTGGTTGATGGTATCAAACCACAAGGAGATCAAACCACAAGAGAAAACATGGGAAATCATAATCATCAATCAAACTTGTTTCTCAGGGACTCTGCCCAGGTTTGGAGACTTGGTAAAATGCCTTGGGGATTTTGATGAAAATCTAAGCACTAAAGAATGACAAAAACTTGCATTGCCTGTTGCAACAGGCTGCATGCTTGTGCTCTCCCAAAATTCATATGTTTAAATACCAACCATTTTGATGGTATTTGGAGGTGAGGTCTTTGGGAGGTCATTAGGTCATGAGGGTAGAGCCCTTGTGAGTGGGATTAGTGTCCTTAAAAAACATACCCCAGAAAGCTCTTACCCTCTCTCTGCCATGTGAGGATACGAGAAGTTGGCTGTCTGCAACTCAGAAGACAGCCCTCACCAGAAACCGATGGTGCTGGCACCCTGATCTTGAGCTTCCAGCCTCCAGAAATGTGAGGATTAGATTTTATTGTTAATAAGCCCACCTACTTTGTTATACCAGCTTGAACTGACAGAGACATCTATTTATCCTTTTTTGATTTATACCACATCATCAGTGCATACACAAAAAGGCAGGGATCATGTGCTGTTGTGACACCCTCACCCTGGCCAGTAACTCACTTGGGATATGGTAACAGTCTTTGAAGTTTTCTTTGATGTGTCCACTCCTCTGTGTGCAAGCGAAACGTGTTCCTCTTTATCTTCTTCGGGACTTGGGGAGTCAAAGATATCAGGGCTTGAAAGGGAAGACTGGATAAAGCCAAAAGAAAATGCTTTTGTCAGAATTACACTTTGGCTGACATAGCTTTTGTTAACATAACGCTGTATGATTTTCAAAGCACTTGACACTTGTATTTTGCTTGTCTCCTCACTATGATGAACAAATATGTAGTCTAAAAGCAGAACAAAGATGAGATGCTTTTACTTGGTCCCCAAAATATATATAAGGTATCCCAAAATGTATATACACATGGAATAATTATAAAGGCACTGTTTATTATAATACATTTCATTTTCAAAATTGAGCTATCAGTTGTTAAAGTGTGTATACATTTTGGGGGATATCCTGTATAAACTCCCAGACATGGAATGTATGGACCAAGGGTAGGGTGGTAGATGGTAATTTTCACTTTTCTGTATATAATTCTGGATGCCTCAAGGCCCTCTAGATCTTGAAAAGTTGGGAGGAATTTAGAGGGAAAACAAAAATGATGAAGGATTTATAGAAAAGATGTAGAAGATACGATTAGAAATTTAAATACGGAGATACCAAGAAGCCATTAAAAAATGTGTGTGTATATGAGATGCATAAAAGAGGGTGTGGGCAGGTGACATGAAAAGGGAAAGAAGATGGTATTGACACAGTACTCTATATAAGAGGGTAATGTAAGCCATTTTTTCAAGTCTTTCTTCACAAAAGGCATCAATACATAGTCAGGTTTGTTTCATACAAGAGGAAAAAGAGGACAACTCAAACCACACTGCCAGACTCAGAAGACATGAGAGAAGAGGCTCAAAGGAAGTGCATTCTTTTTTTTCTAAATGATAAGTGATGAGGTGAAAGTAGATGGTATCCTGGGAAACCTGCAAAAGGTTCATTCCTTGGCATATCAGGGTTAAGGTCATAAAGTCTTTGACCTGCATTCCTAGCAAGGGCAAGGCAATGTGATATGGAGAGATAGATAGAGAGAAAAGATAGGCAGACAGACACATAAACACTGCTTGCAGAAGCATCAAGATTTTTCTACAATGACATTCACATCAGTGTTTATAATGAAGGACTAGAAATCATATAAATGTTCAATGATAATGCACTGGCTACATAAAATATAATCTATTCACAAAGTAGAACACCAGGTAGCCATTAAATGTGATGTTATGGAAGAATGTGTAATGATTTGGGAGAAAGGTGCACAATATAAGAGGAACAAGCAACTTCCAAGCAATGCATAATAAGTGATCCCATTTTTGAAGAAACAACTTAAGAGACACAAATAGAATTTTAAATAAAAGCTAAGGTTATAGCAAGAAAGTAACAGTTCTGGGGAGCAGGATAGCCGATAACTTCCTTTATGAATTGCACTGTTTAAATTTGGCACAATAATGTGTTACAGGTTTCCAATTAGAAACCGATAACTTCCTTTATGAATTGCACTGTTTAAATTTGGCACAATAATGTGTTACAGGTTTCCAATTAGAAAAGAAGTTATTCAAAACAACCCAAATAAGAAAAAAATTCTATGGGTTATCCAGAGGGTTGACTGTACTTTCCAACGTGACCAGGTTCCTCAGATGTTTAAAACCAATCTCTGTAAGGGCTGTTCGGGAGAAAAAGGCTTGTCACACTGTACAGTGGCAGAGCTTTCTTTAGTAGTTTTGTTTTGTTTATAGACCAAATAAGCCTTGTTCTCCTTTCCTACCATAAACATGACAATTTTTTCCTTACCAATTTCATTTCAGATTCAAACAACAATCAGTCTGGAAGGAGGAGGGGAATTGGGAACAGGGAGTGCCCACCTGGCTGGCAGACACACCAAGAACAAACAGAAATACTGCTTGATTCCAGCGGACTCTCAAATCACTTTTGATCAGCGGTGTATCTCATAATCTCCCTCTCCTGTTTGTCCTCTAAAAAGCCACTTGCATTAGAGTCCTGAACTAGAATCTCTAATGTTTCCTGCATTTGAGCTGTAGAGAAGTGAGAAGACACTTACTGATGTGAGAGACTGGGACGGAGGCCGCCTCCCTGTGGCTTTTGGTCTGCTTGTGGTTGGGTGACTGAGTTTCTCAGTAGATGATACCACGGAGTCAAAACCTTCTAGGTCTAAAACAAAAGTAAAACAGATTTCTAAGAGCAACAATAGGAGTGAGAATGGTTCTCATAAGGTGCCAGAAAGCATCTCTTTTCCTTGACAATCATCCTTGATGCCTACATTACATTTCATCATTTATGAAGGCTGTTTACATTCTTTGGTCATCCAATAAACATGACTCAAACGGAATGAAGAATCATTTCCACCTCAGTTTAACAAGCTAACATGGAGGAGAGGGACAGGATTTTTCCTCCCCTCTTCTACAACTATATTCATAAATCTTGAAAAGCTACAGAAAGAGGAGTAAAGGAGGAATGAATCTTATTTTTCCCACAGATTTAAGTTCATTTTGGTAGATGAAACATTCTTGCAGCCTCATCCTAAAAAGTAATTATCATGAGATATGACAACATCCTTGGACATGTGAATGCCAGTCATTGGTACAAAAGATAAGAGAGGGCAGGCTCCTCCTCTGGTTGTGCCTTAGTACTCTGGCCATCAGCTCTCACCCTAAAATTAGACCATAAACTCCCTCTTCCCTGTAGATGGAGAGTAAGCTTCTACTTCTTCAGATAATTCATAGAGCTTGGCACCATTCTCTTTCTAGAGGCATCAGTCAATAAAAGCATTATTTTATTTGGTCATTAGTTATTAGTATGCTCATTCATTTACTCCATTATGATTGAGCAACTAGTACATCACACACACACACACATACACACACACCACACACACACACACCTCAATACCAAGGCTACACCAGTGAGTATGGTGGGCATAAGCTAGTCCTCAGGGACCACACATCTCTGTGACTAATGTCTCAGATGAATGTAGAATCATTCAGCCAGATCATTACTGTACCTGGCATGTGACCAGGAGGAAGGCTTCTGCCTTGATTTTGTCACCCTCTTCAACAAATGATCAGATCAAGTTGTTACCTGGATCTACAGAGTTTGGGGGATTTACAAATGAAGTGTAGATGTGTATGTGATGTACAAAGAAAAGACTGGCAGAAAGGGGCCAACCCTGAGACCCATTATTGCTTGTGATTAGGGCAACACCATCTCTTCCTGACAAGAGTACTGTGTTTCATGTGCTATTCTAGGCACTTCCTTTCCAAACCATTCCCTATTCTCCCTTTAACACAGTCTCAGTTTTGTTTCAGGACAGTGTGCCAGCCCCTGAGCTGAAACATGTTTAGTCTAAGTCAATCATGCGCCTTGTCGCCTGCAATTGGTCTGGAGGTGGCTGTGTAGCCCAATTTGGGTCACAGCAATAAAGGGAAATCTACTAAGAGACTCTGAGAAAGAGATAACCTCTCTGGCTAGAAAGTGCCAACTGAGTGGAAGCCATTTGTGTTGTTGCCTTTCTTCTTTCCTGTTTGGGATGTTGTTTTGAATGGATAGGATGTGTAGAGTTGTGGCAGTCATTTTATGACTGTGAGGGAAGGTATGGCCAATGCTCTTGGAGACTCTGAGGATGGAAGAAAGAAAAATGGAAATACCTTGGGTGACCAATAAGCCCAATGAGCCACCCACCAACCTTGGAATAATCGAGTGCCCAGACTTCTTTCCACATGACAATAATAACCTTCTGTTATTTTAGCCAATTTTAATTAGATATTCTTTATTTGCAACTGAAAGCATTCTAACCCATAACTGAAAATCTGCTGGTTCAGGAGAGAAAAGATAAAAATTATGCGTGTCTTCAATCAGAAATAACATATGCACCTGTAGTTCATAGCAGCTCAGTTTACAATAGCTAAGATTTGGAAACAGCGTAAGTGCCCATCCTCAGATGAATGGATTAGAAAACTGCGGTACATCCACACAATGGAATACTATGCTGCTGTAAAAAGAAAGAACTCTTACCATTTACAACAGCATAGATGGACCTGGAGAGCATTATGCTAAGTGAAATAAGCCAGTCAGAGAATTATAAATATCACATGATCTCACTCATTTGTGGAATATAATGAACAACATAAACTGATGAACAAAAACAGATCCAGAGACACAGAAGCATTGGACAGACAGTCAAACCTCAGAGGGAAGGCAGGAGAGGATGGCGAGGGGAGGGCGTAAATTGGGGGGAAGATATCAACCAAAGAACTTGTATGCTTATAAGCATAACCAATGAATACAGACAATGGGGGGGGCGGTGTAAACTGGAGCTGGGGGAGTGGAGGCAGGCTGGGAGAGGACAACGGGGGGAGGGGAGGGTGCAGAAGGGGACATATGCAATACTTTCAACAATGAAGAATTTTTTAAAAGCCTGTGTGTTTTTCCCGTCATTTTGGAGAGCGCTGTTTTGTTGATGGTTATGATAAGTGAGTTGGCTTCGTGATGGCTTTATTCTATTAATGAGCAGGCAGGTGTTGTCTGCAAATTATTTTCCTTAGTGGAATATGCAAAACCAAGCACACGTCACTGATCAGTACAAACGATTATATTACACCAGGGATTGTATGAAGTGACTTTATTCTAGCACCTGGTAAATGAATAATCATCCAATGAAATTATTTTATCAGAGCAAGGCAAATATAACCAAAGGATAACTATCTGCAGAGACAGCATAAAGAAAAATATCAGCCGAAACCGGTTTGGCTCAGTGGATAGAGCGTCTGACTGCGGACTCAAGGGTCCCAGGTTCGATTCTGGTCAAGGACATGTACCTTGGTTGCGGGCACATCCCCAGTAGGGGGAGTACAAGAGGCAGCTGATCCATGATTCTCTCTCATAGGATGTTGCTAACTCTTTATCCCTCTCTCTTCCTCTCTATATATAAAAAAAAAAAAAAATCAATAAAATATATTTTAAAAAAGAAACAAAAAGAAAGAAAAATATCAGTGGTGCTCAGAGGCCAAAGGAGGAGCCAATCAGCATCCAGCACAAGAGTGAGGCTCCTAAAAAGGGCCCCACCTACAAGCCAGCTCAGTAAGCCTCAGGGATGGGCCAAGACCTCCATTGCTAGGTGGGCTTCTCTAGAGCCAGTTCACTGCTCTGACCCTCTCAGGGGCCTTCCCTTTAAGAAAATCTTATTTTCCTAAAAGTCCCCCTCCTGACCATACCCCAAGACTCACCTTTACTAACATCATGTTGTCGGAAAATGAAATTTCTCATTATACACTTGGATTGAGCTACCATCTAACATTAACGTTCTCTCAATTAAATTTTTAAAGTCACCTTTTCTCTGATTACAAAAGTATAATTTTTTTACTTTTACTCAATGTATAATTTTTAAAAAGCACATAAAATTATAATAACAAAAGAAAGTCAATTATAATCTTACCACTCTGGGACAAGCACTATTAGCATTTTGGTATACTACCCTCCAGGCTTTTTCTATAAATAGTCTAGTTCACACTATAAGAAGCATTGCATCTGTTTATTTCATTAACATAACATTCCACAACTCTAATTTTTTTCATAAATATTTTGATTGCTGTATAATCTACTACATGGCAATTCATGTTTTATTGACTCAATCCCCTATTATTGGATGATTCATTTCCATATCATTCCTTAATCCAATTTTTAAAAGATATATTTTATTTTTTACAGAGAGAAAGTGAGAGGGATGTGCCTGCAATAAAGGTACATGCCCTTGACCAGAATCGAACCTGGGACCCTTCAGTCCACAGGCTGACAATTTATCCACTGAGCCAAACCGGTGGAGGACTTGTGGAGAACAGTTGGTTGTGGAGGAAAGGGGCCACAAAGACTGCAGAGGAAGCCTAAGAGGAAGGAGAGAGGACACATAACTGAGGAGCAAATGCTGAGCAGGCAGCCAGGGGAAGTGAAGAAGAGAGCTGATAATGGTTCCAGCTAACAGGGGTTCAGATGGAGCACCTATATTATGGCTCTGTCCTGGAAATGGAAGCAAGCTCTGGAGGCAAAATCTGACAGACTGAAGCCATTACAGAACAATTAAAGGCTAAGTGACTCTGGGTCTCCACCTTAGCTGCACAGTGGAACCTCCTGGATAAGTAAAAAGACTTGACTCATGCCTGGACCCCACCCTGGGGACTGACTGAATTTGTCTGGGGTAAAGGCTGGGCACCGGTAGGTTTTCAACCTCTGCAGGTGATATGAGCATGCAGGTAAGTAAAGAAGGGGAGGGAGGGATAAGTAAGGACTTGACCAAGCAGAGAGAGGAGAGTGAGCTGGGGTAGGGGCCATCAGGTAAGTGACAGGGTGTTCCAGGGCCCAGTAAGTAGATAGATTGCAGTGCGGGTGAGTTATCAGGAGTAAGACGTAATACCAGCCTGGGCAGTGCTGACCCATTTCGGGGGAGAGGAGGCAACAAGGGGCCAGAGCAGTAGATCAAAGTGGTAACCAAAGGCTTGGGCATTGGTGACAGGTCAGAAACACTGCAGCTGAAGTGAGGAGGAGGCTGATGAGGTGACCCAGCATACAGAGTTGGATGGGAGAGGGGTGTGGAGAGCAGGTGGAATGGCCCCAGGTCCCCTTAGGATGGACTCTGTACATGCACTGGTGTGCAGGGACAGACAAGTTCATGCCCAAGAAACATCTGCTAGAATCCAGGGACGACTCCATCTCTGCTCCCCACCCACCCTCCTAAAATAATTAAGCCCCCTGGGAATTGAAGGTTTGATGGTATGTGAGACGGTGGTCTGTCATAAATCATCCTTTCAAAATGACTCAGAGGTGGGTGTCTGTTTCCCACACTTAGACTATGAGCCCCAGGAGGACAGAAACTTATCTCTGAGCTCTCGATGTCTAGCGCATTCCTGGAGAAAACGTCCTTAATATTCTGCAAATGAAGGAAGACGTGAACAATGGAACAAGCCAATAAATGAATAGGCTAAGCTCAAGAAAAAACTCTGATTCCAGGAGTGCAGCTTACAGAAGTGACTGGGGATGTGAAGTGGCAGCTTCAGGGTGGAAGGCAGCATTCTGTGCCACGGCTGCTTGGCTGGCCCGTTTCATTTTACTGGCTGAGGTCTGCACTGAAAAGACCCACACATGCTGAAGCCTGGCTACACTCA